CGAGCTGATGAGGGACAGCACTCCCAAGTGTCGCTGTCACACACAGAGGTGAACAACGAGCGGATGCTGTGTATGCTAGCTCGCCAACTTTTGCATTGATGGGCTATACATACTCCATGCAGGAGTAGTAAGTAAGCGTTGGAAGTGCTACGTAGTTGCAGCACTTCTTGCGTAGACCTAGTCGCGATCTGTTCGATTCGGTGCCATAGCTCTGTTGGCGAAATGCGAAGGTACCACTCACTTGGCAACTAGACGTAGGCATGCAGCAGGTACTCTCAATTGGGACAGCGGCCCAGCTGAAAATGCTTACGGTGGACAAGATCAGCAGAGCTGCACCTCAGACAAAAAGAAAGTGGAAGTTCTTGGATCTTGAGTCTTGAGCGTACTATACAGCAACCAGCACCCATGCGGGTAGCGTTGTTTGAAGTAGATTGTATGCGACATGCATGCTGCATGCAATGAAGCACACCCTAGACACGTCCCAAGCATTTATATTCACTGAGGGTCAAGGTTACAAGGCAGGGATTCTGCTGTGTGCTAGTTTCAGCTTGACCCTGTCCGCATCAAGAGAGGGGAGTGAGGCAAAGAGATTTTGGTGGATGGCTTCCAGCTAAGCTAAGGACATCGTGATTTGCTCCTACCGCTTGCTGTACTCCCCGGTGTACAGGAGACGCTTGCAAGAGCTTTCAGGTGATTTCTCCCAAGTGTCCAATGGTGAGGCGCGGACCAGCAACATTTGTTTTTTTCCGACTACACTGTGGCAACTTACCTCCCGCATGGTGAGGCAGCTCGCATGGCTGTCGACATCCAAAGCTTGCGTCGAAACACCAAGCGCTTTCGTGAAAGTCCCAGCGAACTTGGATGGCTGCAAGTTCGGGATTCGTCAGTGGGCAGCCCGCAACGAGCGAACGGGGCGGCAGCCAGCAGCGGCTCCAACGACCTTTGCTTTCCAGTGCTGGAGCAGTTCTGGTGGAGAAGGATCGTTTTCGACGAGTTCCACGAACTTGAGGCCAAGCAACTGCACATGCTGAGGAAAGTGGACCCTTTCAGCCTCACCTCTCAAGCCAAGCGGTTTTTGCCAGGGTTGTTTTGCTGGGCTCTTGTGAGCACAGTCCCGCGGTTGAGGCACAGGAAGCTGGTTTTGAAATTGGCTTTGTCATGTTAGCTTGAACTGGCATGGTACATCAAGCAGGGTTGACTCAGAGCCTCTCTTGGAAAGTCTGAAGGCAATAGGTGACACGGCGCAGTTCGACTCCTTGCAGTGCATTTGCGCCGGTTGCCGGTGGGGCCTGACAGGCACTCCGCCTACCCGAGACTTGTCACAGGTGGCGACACTGGCGAAGCTTTTTCAGCTGCCAGGCTTGCCCTGTGAGGATGGCAGTGAGTATGAAGTTCAGCTTGCACAGGAAATGGCTCGATCCTTCTTGGATCGATTCGCCAGGCAGAACACGAGCGAAGAGATCGAGACCGTGCCTTTGAAAGAGCACATCGTCGCGGTGGAACAGACGCCGGAGGAGCGTGCAATCTACTTGCAAGCTTCCCATGACCTTTGCGAAGCGAGTGGGGCTGCACTGGAAATCACTGGCGAGTCTCGTGGCGTGGAAAGGCTTATCAAGCTGTGCTCCCACTTTGCTGCATATTCTGGCATGGCTTCGGGATCATCTGCAGATGCTGGGACGGAGTGCCGCCGAATCTTGTCCAGCAAAGAGCAACAAGCGAAAAGGGCAGCAAACCAAATGCAGCGCTGCGGCATCCGCTTGGAACTACGCCTTCGAGAGGCTTCAGCTGTCAGTTGCAGTCAGCGGCGATTCGAGCTCCGGACAGAGATCCTGCGTCGTCTTGGGGCAACTGTGAGTGTACCGGAGGCCCCAATGTCTCGCAGTGATGGGCAAGAATGGCAAGAACATGAGCTTTCCGATGCCCCTGTCAGTGCCCAAGACGACATTGGTATCATCGGTACCTTGGCTGCTGTCTCCCAACCAGCAGCTGCTGTGACTTGGCTCGTTTGTGCAGGACTGGAGGTATGAAGGGCAATTAAGTCAGGGCGTATCTTGTCGGCGTTTGACGGCAGAACGGAACGTTCTGCAAGGCTGGACCAACTTGTTCATAGCTTTTCGAGCCACTTTGACTCGCTAGCTTTGCAACTACATTTGGCAGCAATTTTGCATCACATCTGAGGCATCTGCTGCTGCTTGCCTTGTGGAGGCAAGTTGACATTTAGCATGGTGCAGCCACTCGTACTTGTAAGGGACTTGAGAGGGAAGCATGAAATCCTTGGCATCACTTGACATCTCATATCGTCACAGCCCCTTGACCACTCTGTCGCACGAAAGGACTCAATACGAAGGAAAGTGATTGTGCCGCCAAAACTAGCGGTTCAAAACCACGCTTGTTCATCTTTTGGAGCTCTGATTGCTAGTCGTGTTCTGAAAGCTTGAACTTTTTGCTCCATGTATTTGGGGAGTAAGAATAGAAAACTGAGATATCCGACGTTTCGACAGGTTGCACGCATGTGCTTGTCGGAGCTGCAGCGGAAAGCCGGCGAGTTCGAAGAGACGGAAATCGTGCTGCAAGGTATCGCGGCGTCAGCACGCATCCATTTTCACTGCCTTGGCACCCTTGCTTGGCCCCCTGACTGGCTCACGTGACCCCGACCTGACCCTGACCTGCAGATCGCATGGTGGCGGCTGCAGAGGCAGCGAGCTCTTCCCAGCGATCCCTTCAGCACCTCCTGCAGCAGCTGGCTTCGAAATGGTTTTGAACGTGCGATCCACATCTCACCAGGTTCTTCCAGCGAACGCTGGCAGCTGCCCGGGGTGAGGCATCATCTGAACAAAGATCTTGCAGCATTTGCCTGGAGGAGGATCTGAACGAGGCCGGTGCTTGCATGTTCCAAAGCGAAGCAGAGTTTCCAATGGGCTGGAAGGAAGACCTGTCCATAACGACGTGCGCCCACGTCTTTCATACTACCTGCCTTGAAGAAGTTGTGAAGAAGTTCGGAACCTGCCCCGCAACTCGGCTCGTGATGCCTGTGTTTGAATCAAGCGCATCTTCCCTTTAGAGACCCACGCGGTATGTGGTCCCCTTAATGCTGCAGTCTACTTCGTGCCCACATGAGGCAGTTGTTCTGTTGCTAAGCATCAGGAATGCCGCCACAAGCTGGGAAAGAGCGACGTCACCCGCCTTGCCAAAGAACTCCAAGCACCTGGTGCGGGGCGAGGCTGCACTATCTGGGTTTTGGGAGGTTCAGGCGGGAAGCTGTAAGAACGGGAAGTGTTGAAGTTCAGGACAGGACGCAAGGACTCAACATGTTTCAAAATGATGCTGACAGATGCTGCCTGGCTGCTCTTTTCGGGTCGTTATGTGCAGGCTGCAAATTGCGCGGCAGCTCGAAAGAGTCCGAGAAACAGGTGCGTGGGGCGGCAAAGTGGACAGTGCCTGCGCGGAGAAATGCCGCTAGCGGCGACTGCTTGATTTGAGGCTGGTAGCAAACTTGCAGCGCTGGCGGTGCACTTGAAAAAGGTGCATGACAGCGGCCGCTTGATTTGGGGATGGGTTGGATCTGCTTCATGTGTGCTGAGCTTTCATGCCTCACCTTCAGTTTCGTTGCGGGTCCCAACATGATAGCTTGCCGCCAAGTGTAAGTGTATGAATCCAGAAGCTGTCGTCTCAGGTGAGAAGGCGTTGGTCTTCTGCCAATGGGAGGATTTGAAAAGGTGTGTTTCTGCTGCGCTGGATGCCTCGGGTGTGCCGCACTTGGAGTTGCTCGGATCCGTCTTCCAACGGGCGGAGGTGCTGCGTCGTTTCCAGGAGCGGATAGAACACGCCAAGTCGCCAAGCCTGCAGAGCTGGCCGCTCTTAGCTCTGCTTCAGCTGGACCTCTGCAGGATGAAGAAGATGGCCACTCCCTGCTCTTGTCGCTGGAACACGCGGCCAGCGGCACCAATCTCACCGCCGCGAACCATGTGCTTTGGATGTACTTGAGTCGCACATCCCTAACAACAGGCAAGGTGTTCAGCGTTTCACATTGAAGCATTCGCGCGCGGCTAGTCTCAGAACCCCTTGCCACACTAGCACCCCCTCGAATTTCTGCTACAGGTCGTCTTCGTTCACCCGATGTATGCGACCTCTGCTGAGCGGGCTGTGGCTTATGAGGCCCAAGCAATTGCTCGTTGTCGTCGCTACGGCCAACAGAAGCCCGAGGCACGTTGCAACTTGCAGCTGGTTTGAACTGTGTGCTATGTTCACACTGAGCAGTGAATGGAACTTCGAATGCACACCGCACGGAAGTGCTCTCCAGTTTGGTTCCGGGGCTGCATGTTGCAATTTCTGCTTCGTGTGTGTCGGCGCAAGCTGCAAGGTGAACTGCTGGCGCTTCGTCACTAACGGAACGATCGAGGACATGTTGCTCGTGAAGACTATTATTCTGGACGACATGCTCTTGATTCCGAAGTCATTGGTTGATCAGATTCGATAATTAATTGGTGCGCATGACTTGTCTGGCGTGGCGTTTCAAAGTTGTCGAAGCCAGGAGAGCATTACGGCCTCCCACCAGAAAGAGCTGTGGCGGCGCGAAGCAGGAACTAATGCAAAACATGACTCCTGCATGGGATCATGGGAGGGCTTTTCCAGTGTCTGATCCGTGCATGCTTATTGTGAGCTGTGCAGCGGGCGGAAGATTTTTGCCATGTCCATCCTCAGCTCGTCAGCCAGCAAGCCAGCACAGACATCAGCAGACATCGAAACTCTGCCGATGCTTACTTAGTCTGCATCTTGCATGATTTTAGTGATTTTAGTGCTTGCGCTCTTGTGCACATGCCGTTGCTTGAAAAGCTAGGCTAAGCTCCTGCAAAACCAACTTGAACCCTGGCGTGCGATCTTGGTAGCTGCTTGATCCGCCGCGGTGAGAACGCGTCTCAGAGCTGCTGGAAAGTCCACATCAGTTGTTCCTGCAGTGACCAATCAGCGGCTCATCATGAGTCTGATGCTCAGGTCCTGCGATGCCGGAGGCTCTCGCCTCAGCAGTTCTGCAAGAAGGGTTTCATTGTCTGTCTGACAGCTGGGCAGGCGAGTTCGCCCGAGACCTTCCAGGAGCCTCACGTGGGCTTTGGCAAACTTTTGACACACTGGCACATTAGCCCACGAGCCCAAGACCCGAGCAATCTTCTCCCCGAAGTACTAAGCCCCGACCTTGCCAATAAGGTATTCGACGTCGATGAATACCCTTCACAGGTCGCGAATCCTCGAAGCCCACCCCGGATGCTCGCAATCGTACAGCCCCGACGACAGCACGCGAAAAGCATTTCACGGTATGGTTTGATGCAGTGTGCAGCAAAGAAGGGGATGTGATGAAACCTGGGGTCTGAGCCGCAGCCATTTCTGAAGTTGTGTAAGCTTGTGAAGGCGGCCGAGTCCTTTCAGGGAGCCAGGCGCGCTGCAGTGTGTCCACTCAATTCCTGCCCGAAACATGCTGCTGATTTCCTGAACAAGTCAGAGCCAAACGTGATTTGGATGGAGCGCAGCAGCAGAAGCCTTTTTCAGACTGCAGACTTGCCCAGTTGCTAGAGTTTGCTCTAGTACTCTAGTAGCTTTAGTACACGTCGTTGGCGCATGGTTTGTCTCCGGAACCGTCGCCTTTCGAGCAGGGGCGCATGCAGCACTGGGGCGAGCTGTGTGGGCCTCGCAGGTTGTTGGCCTCCGCAAGCTGAGGCCAGGCTACGTCTTCAAAGTTGACAAACATGGCTTGGGGTGCCCCCCCCGCCCAGCAGTGACGCAGGGGCAAAGAAGGCGATGCCGAGTTGCCGCTCGAGGTACTATTTGGATCCCGTACAGGTCAACCGATCTATCTGGGATGATGTCAGTCGCCGATGTTCGCCTCTGGCAGTTGTGCAAGAAGAACATTGTCGTAGCTGAGGTTGTCTCCAAGTTGCCCGAAACTTGGCGCGAGACGCCGCATCGTGAGGCCCGCGGACATGGACAAGGGGGGTGGGTTGCCGATTGGCGGTGAAGCTGTTGTTGAAAGGAGCAACTGCGCGGGGTTCTCAGATCCCGCAAGTCATGGCTGCTGGAGAGATACCATGTTCGGTTGTGCTGAGGCGTCAGTGAGCAACAAAGTTGTGGCTTGAGTATGTCGCGCGGACCCAAGCTGCACTGTCATGCTTGCTGAGAAGTTGTGGAAGCAGGAGGCACGCCAGTTCAGAGAGGCACAGTGATTTCGGTTTCGTGGTCGACAAGGTGGAGGACGAGTTTCGATCTCAGCACAGTGGAACAGGAGTTATATATATATATATACATATACATAGACACTCTGCATACTGCGGAAGCTGCCACAGCCGAGCGTGAGGCCTGGCCAAAAACTGCAAAAGGGCGAGGTGCGATCGAAGTGATGCAGTTGAGTTGCGCTAGGTTGATCCATGAACGGAGTGTGTGAACGACTAGTGTGGTAGATATACCGCCTGTCATGACAGGTGGCTGAAGATGTGAGTTCGTAGGTGAGCCAGGGTTTTGAGTAAAGCATGGAAGTGAAACGTCTGTGTACAGTCTGAACCGGCAGTAGCAGTCGCTGGCCACCACACCAGGCCATCGTGGCGATAGAAGGGCGTTTGCTGGCTGGACTCTCTGCTCCGCAGATGCAGGCCACGATGCCACGGTGCTGATGCAGAGTTTTGTAAAGATGTTTCTGCTTGCTGACGACTGCTTCGACAGTACGCTAATTTGAAACTGGCAGTTGCCTGATTGAAACTCTTGTGGCTAGGCCTCCTTCCAGAAGCGGCGCGTTGACGGTGCTCGACTGTATGTGGTCGATCTCGCCAAGGCTCTCGGACATGAGACAGTAAGGTTGGAGCAAGTCATCTACGAATGCATGCGATTTGAAGGCCGAAGAGCTGTCCCGACGAGACCCAAACATCATTGAGATGTGGGACCCTGTCAAGCAGGCATGGCTCCAAGAGTACCGATGCATCTCAAAGTTGTGTCGTTGAAAGTTGAACATGTCGAACCGAATGGCTCCCTGCACCTTAGCACAACTACTACTTTCACAAGAAGACTGGCAAGAGCGCATGGACACTGGAGGATGCCATGGTCCTGCCACAAAGTTGTTGTAGACATCAGAAGGGCACAATACATCTCGATAACTTCGCAAGGAGCTGCAGCCGGCTCCGTCCACGTCGACCTCGGCTTCGTGACTGGCCTTTGGGTCAACATGCGCTTCTTGCCCCTTTCCCTTTTGCCCCTTGCTGCCCGATTGCATCCAAGGTCAGAGAAGCGGAAAGCGGAAGCTCCATCACAGGTGGGTGACTTCTAAGTCCTGTGCACAGCCGGGTAGATGTTACTGTCTTCATACCAAGAAGAGTCCAAGAAGTGATCACATTTGCGCCTGGCCGCAGGCGCCAATTGACATCGCCCACTTTATGCAGCATGGGCTCCTTTACCTGGTTTTGCTCTTGTTGTGGTTGCTGCGATGAACCAGAAAGGATGAAAAACCAGCACCTTCGGAAGCGTACGGAAAGGTTTGCAAAGCAGAAGGAGCAGCCAAAGAAAAAGGCCAAGGCGACATGACACAGACACACCAGATCAGGTTTTTGCAAGGATGGCACCTGGCCAGGCCAAAGGTGCTGTCGATGAGACAGACAAGAGTGAGTGCTGGCCTTACAGCCTTGGTGGGCACCGGACCAGGTCAGGTAAGCTCTGAGGATGCGTGTGAAGTGTCCGAAGTGTCAAGGTCCGATCTGGCAAGAGAGGAGCTTGCCAGCCAATCTGCGGCTCCTAGGGCTGCAGAACTTTCAACGAATGCTGCTCCGTTGATGCTCGCATCCCACAGCCGATCAGTTGCTTCGAGCCACATGCAAGCGCAAGGGCATAGGAAGAGGATGTTGACAGCCTTTGCTCCGGATAGTGTGCTACGCAAAACTGCGGACAAGTCATCTGCTCGAATAGGACCGGAGTAGGAGCAGAACACACAAAGAGTACTTCGACTTCTTGGCGCGTTTAGGTGTGGACCCGGGGGATTAGAGCAGCAAGGACCACTGCACGTCTTGCAGACTACCAATGTGATTTGGTAACCTGAAGAGTAGGTTTTGCAAGTGTTTCGCAACCTTCGCTGCATGGACGGGCCGAAGCCGAAGTGCGCCCGAAGAGCCTGGCCCGGAAGCTGCCGTCGGCGGCACAAAGGGTCAGGGCCCCGACAAGGTTGACGCATGGAGGTGAAAGTGCTAAAACAAGTCCGGCCGAGTACGGCTTAGTCCGTTGGCTTTTGAGAGGATTTGCTTTCAGCATTCTTTTCCCGCGCGGAAGGGCAATGACACAAACTCGAATGAACAACTGCACAAAAAATTGAATCTTTCCGCATTGTTGAGATAAATGCAACTGCTAGATCGAGAGCTTCCAGCAACTGACTTATGGTCGCTTGCATGCCGGCTGAAATGCAAACAACGTAAAGCCTGCAGAGGAGCTCCACTGGCTGCCGTTGCAAGTCATTTGCGTCTTAAACCACTTGCCTTTAACTTCAACCGGATCGCGAAAATCAAGAGTTGCAGAAGAGGACTGAAAAACAATCCGCTGCGATGCACCGAGGTCCAACAATGGCCAGTGCGGCCCTGTGCGTCCAGAGCTGAGAGAGCACGCCCATTCGCGGTTACTGGTAGAAGTGTCCAGCCTGGCGAGGATTTTCCCGGGGAGCTTGGACGTGGCAGGCAGAGGGTCGAAGGGTGATGTCTTGGAGCTTGGGCAGCCTGAAGTTGCACCGTGACAGGTCCCCGTTGCTGCTGTTGTGGTAGGCCCTGTCACGTAGCGCGAAATACAGCACAGGTAGCAGGATAGGGAGTGTGTCAGACAGATCAGGCTCCACCAGCTGCACGGCCCTGGTCGGCCAGTTGGTCTCAGGGTGCCGGCCGGTAGTTCCGAGCTCGCACACCGGACCCAGATCCAGGCAGGATGCTTTCACTTCCACCCTACGTAGGCCGTATGCCGTCTGCCCTGCATCCGTCGCACAGCTTTTGAAATGCTTTTGCAGCCTGGACAGTGGCATTGGAATTGAAATTTGGCTCAATTATCTCCTTCAGACCGGTGACAATGCTGCCGGCTTTGCACGTCATCAATGTGCCCTCTGTTGTTTGCTGCCTGGCTCAATGGACGCCTCATGACGAGTTGGTCATGCGACAAACCCGGCACCCGGCCTAATGATTCTTTGCCGTCGGCCAAGGACGATTCCATCAGCGAGGGCTTGCCTTCAAGATGGTCATGGGCTGCACAAGAGCAGCATTGCTCGTGATACTCCCTCTTGGTGCACAGGGTCATTGCGAACCTGAGCTTCAAAGGTAGGCTTCTGGCTGTGGGTTGGCGAGACTGCTCCAGCTGTAAGCAAACATGCCCCCTTTCGCCAAGGAACATGTAGCTGTGCTGGCATGGTCTTTTCTGGATTCTGGCAGCCTGGCGAATTGCAGGGACACGTGTGGCAGACAATTCAGACTAGTCCGGCGATAAAGCAGCTTAGAGAATAAGCGTGCATGCATGTCTGCAGGGCGACGGAATGTGACGAGGGTGTGTGGTTCTTTGCAGGTCTGGTTTGCGCCGACAGAGCCACTTGGAAGGGGATCAGTCGTCCGCTATCAGCACTGGTCATGGTGATTCTCCCAGGCTCTCCAGCACAGCTTAGACATAGACCACTTGGATGACGATGTTACTACTTCCCAGCCCGCTCAAGATCAAGATCCAGATGCCGAACCTTTGCTGCACGAGAAGGTGTGCTAGAAGGATGCATGCGCCCAGGCACCTTGCTCAGAGTCATGTTTGTGGCCATGATGGCAAAGTGTTAGCCAGCTCATAAATTCTGAACTGATGGCTTTCTCGGCTCAAGACGCATCCTACATCTGATAACGGATGCCGCAGGCATCATTGACGCAATCCTTCTCTACTACCCGTGCCCGCAGCTTTGTCTCGTGGCGCATTCCATCAGCCAGGTGCTTGCATGGCACCTAGTACAGGAAATTTGTTGGACGTGTTGGCAGCGCTTCCAATCTCCATTTTGGCTTTCCTCATGGCCCGCATCATCGTGTATGGCTTCTCGGACGACATTGTCCACTACTTCAGCACAGACCTCGTGGATGATGTCGCGACGTTCGTTGCCTGCTGCACTGGAGCGCTGGCGTGCTACAGGCCGTCTGCAAACGACGCAAATCACATCAAGTTGAGATTGCCGTACCTAGCCCTGTGATAGCGGCATTGGTGGATCTGCAAGAACCACGGTGACGATGATGCGGAGTGCACAGCAGCGAACGCCCCGAGTTCTTCGGCACATCACTCTCCGATGTTGAGAGCTTGTTTGCCTGAAACTGCTGTGCAGAGTGCAGAGGACCCCCAAAAAGAGCGGACTGCCCTGCGCAAGCAACTTTGCAAGTGCTGGGGATTCGGGATTGCTGCAGATTGAGCCAAGGCAGAAGACAACCCTGAGCTGGCCAGTCGCTCAGAAGCTCCGCCCCGAGGCGGTTTCAGATCGCTCACGTGGCAGGACCCGGCACAGGATACCAGTCACGAGAAGAAGAGCCCTCGAAGCAGATTCAAGGACAGATGCAGAGTAACGAAGTGCAGCTTCAAGGTATTGACCTGATGAGTTGGACATTGAAGCAGAGACGCCCACTCGGATCCCGGTGCATTCATCAAAATATAACAGGATTTGTGTTCTGCGCATGCTCGAGTCAACCCAGCTTAGAGGAGAGTGACAGACACGGCCTGCGGGTTTTGTCTGCAGGAGTTCCGAGATCACCAGATTGCCACCGGGTTGTCCATCATGTTTTTGGGCATGGTCTTTTTGGTGGCTTGGCCAAACATGGTTCAATATCCCGGTTCGTGTCAGCGCGAAATAGATAGCGTAGTCGCAAGCTAAACAGCGGGAGAAGAGTGACAGTGACTGACAGTGGACATCCATGCACGGCTGCTGGCAAAGGTGGGTTTCGTGGCGTGGATGATTGCCTATCCTGACAAACAAGTGAAGCACTATTGTGCACCCCGCCAGAAAGCATGGAGGAGAAGGTGCATGGCTCTGATTAGGTACAATGCCACCAACAGGCCCAAGATGTAGCAGGAAGACAACTGGTTGAGTGGACTCGCTTCAAACTGTGGAATTGTTCGTGCGGCGGTCGTGCTATGTGGAAGGACCGTCTCCTCATTGATTCCCGTGCCACCCTGTTGGAATCTGGGTTGCTGCCGATTGAGGTACGTATATGCAGCTCCACAGTGGCCCGGTCGAAGCAGTTGCGAAGAAAGCGCGCGTTAAAGGCTCCTTGGGTGTTCGCCAGTTCAGGTAGTGATTTTCATGGCTATCGCCATCGATCACGCAGCCATCTTCTTCACCATCGTCGAGGCTCATCTGGCAAGGAGCAGCAGAAGAAGCACCGCAGCAGCCCCTTCGTTCGGCCCTGATGGGCCAGAACTAGGCTTTGATGCAACTCAGGATGCTATCACTGGCCTCAAAGGGTGGAAGCTGGCCGTGGCACCCTTCTTCCTCTATTGGATCCTTGCTCAGTATTGACCTTCGTGGGCAAACCTCCGATGGAATTGGCCCCTGAAACGGCTACAACAGAACTTGAGAGCCTCCGGCCACACCTCCAAGATGTTGATCCACAGCTGCTGCCCGCGTGAAGATGTCATGTCAGAGTTTCCGTGTGCTACTACTCAGTACGCAGTCTGGACGGTCCGCTCAGGATGTTGACAATTTTTGTGACTCGTCTTGTTTATCCGTAGTTAAAGCACACCAATCAGCAAGTTCTGCATCGCAGCCTTGCGTTTTCGACGGTGCATGACTGATTGACGGCGATTGAGGTCAGCTACCTGGTCTCTTGGCTTCATTACGCCATACAGGATATGGACAGTTTGGATATGTGCGCAATGTGAATGATGCTCTCATGCCCCGACTCCGGTGCAAAGTTCCGCTGGGAAGTGCGATCCTGGCATGTGGCAACATGCCCCTGCGATAGGTACGGAAGCAGCCCTTGAACATGGCAGCTGCCGCTTGTCTTCTTGGCTTTAAGCATTTAGCCTTCGGGGCCGGTGGGCCTTGGATTCGGGTTTGGGAGTTGTGTCGGGACATGTCGGGACTTTCTGAATCTTACTCATGGCAAGAAGCAAGTGCGTGTCAAGTTGACAGTGGCCTTGAAGCAAAACTTCCACTGAGGCCAGGAATGTAATTTCCCACGTCTCTGCTTTCGTGGCCATTACAGGCTTTTCTGACATCCTGTTGCTCAGTTGCATTGGTTGTCATGTCTGTGGTTGCACATAAGCGAGCTTGCTTGGCACTTTGCGACCAGGTACAAGTTCAGCTCCGGCCAAGACTTCCCGAAGCAGCAGGCCTGCTTTGGAGTTTGGGCCTCTCGTCGATGTCTGCAGCAGCACACAGTGCGCGGAGTGTGGCGCACGTGCAGGCTATTCCATGCAGCGCCTCAGCCGTATCAGCATTAACTTGCTTCTTCTGGGTTGCTGACGCAGTCTGTGGCAAGCTGCAGAACCTGGTGGCATGCAGCTGTTTGTTGTCAGACTGCACAAGCTTCTGACACTCTTGCACAGGAGCTGGAGTGTGGCTGGCTATTTGCATCGGCTTTTGTTGCTTGGTCAAAGGGAGGGGAGGGAGGCAGGGCCGGAGAAGGGAGAGAGGTGTTGCGGTGAATTTTATAAATTTGAATGGGACCAAGGGAGCCTTCGGCAGCTGTCTTCCGCACTTCTACACAGGCAGGATGTTTCGTTGGACGGCTGTTGAGCCTGCCGCATGCTCGACCCCTGAATCGCTCATCAAGTGCCAGCGGGGCGGCGATTTCAACGTGTTTTTGGCAACTGCTAGGCTGCCGTACGGCTGAACCTCGTCTTCACTTCAGTGCGAGGGCAGCGAAGGGGAGAAGCATCGAAGCGAAGGGCTTTCGGAACTCGGTGCTCCGAGGCGAGCTGCCTGCCGAAGGTCTCGACGGCCACGCCGAGACTCGGCCGATCTGGAGCTCCACAAGAAATCACGGGGCCCGGGCCCAAAAGCCCCCAAGCTGGCCAGGCGGCCGAGGGCGCGGGCCAGACGCAGAGCTCAGGGGGGCACGGTCACCACGAGGACGGAAGTGGCGAGGACACGCCTGAGAGCGTGGCTTTACTCAACCAGCTCTTCAGCTCTTGCCTTGAGCCTAGAGTGCCTAGAGAAAATTGTTCAGCTTTCAAAGGTTCACCTCTTCATCGAAGAGGTAGAGGAAGCCCTGGAAGAAGCGAGCCTCGTAGCTCTCAGTTGCTGGGCATGCTCAGTCGCGAGGTAAGCTACTCAAGAGGTAAGCGACAAGAAAAGCATGCAGTCATGGACTTCTTGGATGCTTGCTGATCTGTTCAGGAGGTCTTCAATCTAGCGGTCTAGTCAAGGCTGAATTGGCCAGTCAACGTTCAAGAACAAGTCTGTCTCGTGGATTCTCATGGGCCCCGGAGGTTACCTGTTCGTGAAGTTCTTGGTGACGAAAACTCTCCTGGAAGTCTGGGACTTGCATCTCATCTGCAGAAGGGTCGATCTATCAGCAAGAATAGACCGGTGGAGCTTGATATGCTATGAAGCTTTGCCGTGCATGAGTTTTGTGCCGGTATGCGGGGGGCCCCTGTCAGGAAACATCTACAGAACACGTATGCATCCCGGCACAGACTGAGCTGTCTGGGAATGTGCAGGAGTTTTGGTGCGCGAGTGTGGGCATAAGTTCCAAGATCTGCTCAGGAGGCGCGTGAAACTCATTGGACGTTAAGTAACGACACCGTCATCGAGGTGCTGTTGATTATGGCTTCCTGGCACAATACGTAGCACGTGGTTGCTTGCAGTCATTCTGTTCAAAGTGGCATGTTTCAGTACTGGTGGCTTGCTGAATGTGATTCGCCCACAGAGCAGACATGCAGCGATCACGACTTGGCGCAAGAGCATGACGGGAT